GCAAGCGGGCAGAACAGCCAACCTCTTGGTCCCTCCCCCGGCCCACAGGCTCCAATTGCAGCATGGCGAACGGGGAACTGGGTGGGTGGTGGCAGGGTGGGACTGGGGACTGGCAAGTGGGCGGAAGGCAAACCTCTTGGTCCCTCCCCCTGGCCCACAGGCTCCGATGGATCAGCAGATGGTGAACAGGGGAACTGGGGTGGGTGGTGTGGGACTGGGGACTGGTGAACGGGTGGAAGGCAGACCTCTTGATCCCTCCCCCCGGCCCGCAGTCTCCGATGGATCAGTGGATGGCGAATGGGGGAACCGGGATGGGTGGCACGCGGGGCGGGACTGGGGACTGGCGAGCAGGTGGAAGGCAGACCTCTTGGTCCCTTCCCCTGGCCCGCAGGCTCTGATCGATCAGTGGCGGTGTTGGGGCAGGACTGGGGACTGGTGAACGGGCAGAAGATGGCCCTGATCGCAGGCTAGGCCTAGGGAACCTTCCCACGCATGATTTCATGCGCTGAGCCTCTGGTCTATAATAATAAAAGGGTAATATGCTAATTAGACCAGATGTCATTCTGGATGTCATTCTGGACGAAGCCAAGGCTGGCGGGAAGCCTGGGTCCCGGGTGCCTGCAGGTGGCAGGAGGGAAGCCAGTCTGGGTCCCGGGTGCTAATGGGTGGCCAGAGGGAAGCCAGCCCAGGTCCTGGGTCCTAGGTGTTGGTGGGTGGCCGGGGGGAAGGCAGCCCAGGTCCTGGGTGCCAGCTGGCGGCCAGAGGGAAGCCAGCTCAGGTCCCGGGTCTGCGGGCAGCCAGAGGGAAGCCAGCCTGGATCTGAGTGCCTGCCGGCGGCCGAAGGAAGTAAGCCTGGGTCCTGGGTACCTGCCGGCGGCTGGAAGGAAGCAAGCTTAGGTCTCAGGTGCCAGAGGGAAGCCGGTGCCGGCAGCAGGGGGAAGGAAGGCCTACTCTTGCACGAATTTCGTTCATCGGGCCTCTAGTAATGAATAATGCTGCTACAAACATTTGCATATAATTCTTTATGTGGACATATATATGTTTTCATTTATCTTGGGTATGGAATCGTTAGTTATATTGTAAAGTTTTGCTCAACTTTTTTTTAACTTTAAATTGCCAAACTGTTTTCCAAAGTGGCTGTGCCATTTTACAGTCCCCTCAGCAATGTCTGAGGGTTCCAGTTTCTCTAAATTCTTACCAACACCTTCATTGTCCACTTTCTTAATATAGCTATTCTAGAAGGTATTTTCTTTTTTTTTTAATATATTTTATTGATTTTTTACAGAGAGGAAGGGAGAGGGATAGAGATTTAGAAACATCAATGAGAGAGAAACACCGATCAGCTGCCTCCTGCACACTCCCCACTGGGTATGTGTGCCTGCAACCAAGGTACATGCCCTTGACCGGAATCGAACCCGGGACCCTTGAGTCCGCAGGCCGACGCTCCATCCACCGAGCCAAACCGGTTAGGGCTAGAAGGTATTTTCTTAATGATTAGCAATGCTGAGTATCTTTTCATGTGCCTATTAGCCATTCATATATCTCCTTGGATGAAATGTCTAATTGTTTTGCCCATTTTTAAAATTGGGTTGTCTTCTTGTTATTAAATTATAAGTTTTTAAAATATATATTCTGGACATAATTCCTTTATCAGATGTTTGATTTACAAATAATTTCTCTCAACATCTGGCTTGTCTTTTTGTTTTCTGTTCTTTGACTTTTTGAAAGGGGACTTCTTGCCCAGCTGGCATGGCTCAGTAGTTGAGCATCGATCTATGAAGCAGGATGTCACGGTTTGGTTCCTAGCCAGGGCACATGCCCGGGTTGCGAGCTCAATCCCCAGTTTCAGGTGTGTGGGAGGCAGCTGATTGATGAGTCTCTCTCATCATTGATGTCTCTATCTCCCTCTCCTCCCTTCCTCTCTGAAATCAATAAAAATATTTTTTTTTTAAAAAGGAAGAAAGGTGACTTCTTTCAAAGGAAGGAGTATAAATAAGAAAAGTAGACCGGACTCAGTATTATAAATTATCATTAGAAAATAAAACAATGTTTGTGAGCAAGGAAAATAGCCTCAGTAAACTGTATTACCAAGTGTGTTTGGTATCTTTAGAAGGAATTATTGCCGAAACCGGTTTGGCTCAGTGGATAGAGCGTCGGCCTGCGGACTGAAGGGTCCCAGGTTCGATTCTGGTCAAGGGCATGTACCTGGGTTGCGGGCACATCCCTGGTGGGGGATGTGCAGGAGGCGGCTGATCGATGTTTCTCTCTCATCGATGTTTCTGACTCTCTCTCTCTCTCCCTTCCTCTCTGTAAAAAATCAATAAAAAAAAAATTATACAGGTTTAAGGTATGCAATTCTATAATACATCATCTGTATATTGTCTTGTGTATTCACCCTTGAGTCTGATTATAAAGACTTAAAAAAAAAAAAAAAGAAGGAATTATTGCCTTGCATCTGACCTCCAAATAAATATGTTGGGCTCATACACTAAAATAATACCCATCATACAGATGCAGTAGTAAATGGTACTGGTCAAGGGCACATGCCTGGGTTGCGAGCTCGGTCCAACGTGCAGGAGGCAGCCAATCAATGATTCCCTCTTATATTCCCATATACCAGCCTATTAATTCTTTTTAGGGCAGTTTGTTCACCATGGTTATGTCTGAGACAGTAGAATCTTGAAGAGAACACAGGCTTAGTGACAGGTGTATGAGAGAGCCAGACACAACTCAAGCTTATACAATTCAAGCTGTATTCTAAGACAGGTTATTTTTGCAATTAAATATATTTTATTAAGACAATCATGAATAACATTTTAAGTAAAAAATATAATTGAAATTTCGAAAAAATAAATAAATAATAAACACACCTCTATTTCTTACATGTTACTCAATGGCTTGTGTGTCTTTCCCACAGCGGGCAATATATTCCCATGAGTCTGTAAAAATGAAAATCTGGTTGTAAATTAGCCTGAGACTTAATTGCTCTCTAAAGCTTAAACTAGCTTTTCTGGAAAAAGGACTAGCTGACGAAAATTTTTCTAACTTGCTGAATTTTCATCTTTAAGTCTTACCTAGTACTTGAAGCAAGAAAAAAGCAAAAGACCTCTGACCTTAAATCTCTTGTGGTTATACGATGTATGCTGCTTTTATACAAGTATTTTAAAGGTGTTTTAACCGTTTATTGCACTTTCCTTGCACAATTTACAAAGAGCTTGTGTTGTATGACGTATTTTTTTTTATATCACCTTAAGTTTACTCAGAGACTAAGGAAGAACACAGGCTTAGTGACAGGTGTATGAGAGAGCCAGACTCAAGAATGCCTAGTTCTCTTCAAGAGTCTACTGTCTCAGACATAACCATGGGGAACAAACTGCCCTAAATAGAATTAATAGGCTGGTATATCCACTTACTACTGCATCTGTATGATGGGTATTATTTTAGTGTTAAGGTTTTAAATTTTTGATGGCAAGGTTGTAGTAGGTATTGAAATTAAGTGGTCATGATAAAAAAAATGTTTAATGAAAGAATAGAAAACATCAGGGTGCATTACATGTAGTAAGGATAAGTATTCATGAAACTTGTTTCACCACTGTATAAGCATATATGTGTATGTGAAATCATATATAAACTATGTATGATTATGTATGTGTCTATATTATATACTAGAGGCCCGGTGCACGAAATTCGTGCACTTGGGGGGGGAGGGTGTCCCTCAGCCCGACCTGTACCCTCTCACAGTCCAGGAGCCCTTGGGAGATGTCCGACTGCTGCAGAGGCAAGGGAGGCTCCCGCCACTGCCACTGTGCTCGCCAGCCGTGAGCCCAGCTCAGAGCTTCTGGCTGAACGGTGCTCCCCCTGTGGGAGCACACTGACCACCAGGAAGCAGTTTCTGCATTGAGCATCTGCCCCCTGGTGGTCAGTGCATGTCATAGCGACTGGTCGTTCCGCCAGTTTGGTCCATTTGGTCCATTTGCATATTAGCCTTTTATGTATACACTAGCGGCCCAATGCATGAAATTCGTGCAACAGTAGACCTTCCTTCCCCCGGCTGCCGGCACCATCTTCCCTCTGGCACCTGGGACCCAGGTTTCCCTTGCAGCCCCGGCTTTGTCTGGAAGGATGTCCAGTCTAATTAGCATATTAAACTTTTATTAGTATAGATATATACACAGAGACTTCAAATAAATACATACGTATTTACTGAGTTAGGATGTAAAATATATTTCTTTCTATGGATTAAAGTTTAAAAAAAACATATATAAGCCACTGCTCTTTAGCACTAGCAACATACAAGGCACATACATGCTGTGTGTTACAAATGTGTAGTATATAAATTGGTAGATATATATGCTTTCTGATGCCCACTGTTTAAATTTATACGCACAATACTTGTGTTCATTAAGTGAACATATATTAAGCACTTACAGTATGCATCATTGGAGGTACAAAGTTGATACCAAAAGTTGTGGTCTCAAAACAACAACAACGAAAAGTGTGGTCTCTATCCTCAAAGAGCTCAAGGTCTTTAACATTTAAAAGATGGGTGAATTAGTGGAAGAGGAACAGGAAATTTTTGCTATAGTAGTGGGAAATGCAGAGTGCTAGGAACTTTTACACACATTTTTACAAGTCATTTACATAGTCCTTTACATTTCACAGAATTCTTTGCTTCATATAAACAGGTGATTATTACTCCCTTTTGGATTAAGGAATAGACTTGGAGAGGTTACTCTGACTAAGATCACCTAACTGGAAAGTGACAGAGCTGGATTTACATCTGTCTCCCAATCCAAAATCATGATCTTTCTCAGGGTTATGACCCCAAAAGATCTGTGGTAAATTACAGATTTCAAATTGAGCAACTTAAAAACCTTATAGGGAAAATAAGGCTACATGAACGGAGCCTGGATTTCTGAAATGTCAGTGGGTCATTTTTATATTTGCTAAAAGCAAAAAGCATAAATACAGGGAATTTTAATGTCATTTACAATATATATACTTTATGAAATTGAGAATATTCCTTTTCACTCAAACATTTTTTTATTCTGCCTTCTCAATCTCTTTAAGATATTTGTAAATTCTTTACAGATGTTAATATAAATAAGCAATTTTTTTCTTGCCACTGAGCCCCAACATTTGTGTGTGTGTGTATTAAAATTTATTGACTTCTACCCTCTGTGTCTCACTATTGTCCCAAGAGTATAAAGTCACTTGGATATTGGGATAAAAAAACTTCGAGTGCCTTTTACTTAGCATATTTAGCATAGCTTAGCTTTTTAGGGTCAGGGAATATTCCACCTGAGGGCCATATAAGGCCCGTGAAATCATTTGGTCTGGCCTTGCCAAGGCATAAGGAGTGAGTTAATTAAAATTTTTACCAAATATAGCAGGGTAATTTTTAAGTTTATAATTTTGTATGGCCCACGAATGATGTTATAAATATCGAAATGGCCCTTGGCAGAAAAACAGTGCCCCACCTCTGATTTAGAAACTACTTCATGAGCTCTAGCTCATTAATAAGAAATCCCAGAGCTCATACTATCTTTGTCTTCACTCCTCTCCTTCCCAATAAGAGTATGGGTGGATCTAAAACCTCGTGTACTGTCCCTCAACTTCCTTTATCTCTTCTAATGCTTCACTACGCCATGTTCTCTTGCTCTGTCACTTTGCTCTCTTTTCCCCATTACCTTGACCCTTCTTTTTCTAATTATACCCTAAAGGTCTGCCAGTATACAAATATTTGAGTCAAAATTCTTAGAGCTTTCAAAATCCACATGTATTGGAATTTCAAGAGGAGAACTTACTGGGATGGATTACTGAAATCTCTACGTCATGCTTTATTCCCAGCATATTCTCTTTATAGAAGCAAATGTATCTTTGATCAAGTCAATGGGTATAGCCATATTTACATTGCATGTCTTTCTGGTAATATATTCTGTTTGTACTTGTACTTTGTGTTGACAGATACAAATGAAATTGATGGAAATGAAAGAGCTGGAAAACCATAGTAATCCATTAAATTGGCGCAGTAGCCCACATGGCATTCTTGTGAATGGCACCACAGATTATTGTAGCCTCAGCACCAGCAGCAGTGAAACAGCCAACCTGAATGAACACGCTGAAGGCCAGAGCAACCTAGAGTCGGAGCCCATACACCAGGAGTCTCCAGTGAGTCTAATAGTTACCTAACCCTCAAAATCAACTTCAGGAAAAGAAATTGATTCAGATAAAAGTTTTGTTGATATCATATCTCATACAACTATGTGGCCTTGCCTTATCTGAGGACAATGGAGATTTTCTTTTTTTGAGAGGCAGAGTAGGAACTAATCCAACAGTTGTAAGAGTTTTAACAATTTTAAAATGTAATTTAACCGGTCTACTTGTATATATGTTTTCAAAACAGTAGTTCGCTAGATAATAACTTTTAGAAATTGTTTTTAAATATTCTTACCCAGAGCTGAAAGTAATGCTTTATTTCCTAATGTTGAGGACAGTTATTTATCAGTTATCTAGAGACCACTGACTATGTAAAAGAGTATTGCTGTTTGCCCTAGCCAGTTTGGCTAAGTGGATAAAGCGTCAGCGTGCAGACTGAAGGGTCCTAGGTTCGATTCTGGTCAAGGGTACATGCCTGGATTGCGAGCTCGGTCCAACATGCAGGAGGCAGCCAATCAATGATTCCTTCTTATCATTGATATTTCTATCTCTCTCTCTTCCTTTCCCTTCCTCTCTGAAATCAATAAAAATAATTTTTTTAAAAAAGCAAAAAAAAAAAAGGAGTACTGCTGTGTTATGTGTGAGAGCTATAGAGAAAAAAGACTAAGGAACTCTGCCTTCAAGCAGCACAGTCTAGTAGTGTAACACTGTGTGAAAGGGCTGTGACAAAGGAGGCATGGGACATTCAGGTTGGAGGGGGCTCAGAGAAGATGTTATAGGGAGAACTTCACAAGTGACCTTCAAAGTGAAAAAGGGGTACGTAAGCAAAGGAGAAGTGGTACATTCCTGGCAGAGAAAGCAGCATGAGCATCAGGTCTGAGGTGGGAGAAAACATGCTGCACAGGGTCGTGGGAAGTTTTTGAAGAGTATCTTGTGATGGTGGGAGAGTATTGATAGAAGATGTGGCTTTCTCCTGGTGGGCGCCCGCCTTACCTCTGGTACTTTATCAGAATATAGATGCCTGAGCCCTACTCCAAACTTGAGTTTCTGGGATATAGCTAGGTACATATATTTTAAAAACAAATTCCCTGGGTGATGGTGATGTGTACCTGGATAAAAATGACCACTTTTCGGTCAGAAAGAGCCAGACGATAAGAAATTTAGATGTAGCCCTGGCCGATATGGCTCAGTGGTTAGAGTGTCTGCCCACTCACACAAGGGTCAGGGTTCCATTCCCAGTCAAGGGCACATACCTGGGTTGCAGGTTCAATCCCTGGCCCTGGTTTGGGGCACGTGTGGGAGGCATCCAATCGATGTGTCTCTCTCACATCAATGTTTCTCTCTCTCCTACCCTCCCTCCCTCTAAAAATCAATGGAAAAAATATCTTGGATGAGGATTTAAAAAAAGAATTTGGATTTATCTTGAAGCATTGGGGAATTTATCACACAAAAGTAGGTAGGCATTTAAGAATTTTAAGCAAGAAGTAACAGGATTAAACTTACTTTTTAGGAAATGTGAAAAGTGGATTGGAGAGTTGGATTGGACACATATTAAGACTGTTGGAATGGTCCATGTGAGAGTTGCTTTAGTCTAAATTAAGCAGTAAGAGATGTAAAATTAATACTTGATTTTGTTTAGACAGTACAGTGCTAGACACATTATAGAATTTTCTTTTAAGCACAAAAGGTAAAATTACTAGGTTATTCTTCAAAGACAGCGTGGTGTTAAATGGAGATTGCCCCTGCCACTTTTTTTTTAATCTCACCCAAGGAGTGAAGACATTTTTTCCATTGATTTTTAAAATATATATTTTATTGATTTTTTACAGAGAAGAAGGGAGAGGGATAGAGAGTTAGAAACATCGATGAGAGAGAAACATCGATCAGCTGCTCCCTGCACACCTCCCACTGGGGATGTGCCCGCAACCAAGGTACATGCCCTTGACCGAATCGAACCTGGGACCCTTCAGTCCGCAGGCCGACGCTCTATCCACTGAGCCAAACCAGTCAGGGCTCCATTGATTTTTAGAGAGAGTGGAAGGGATGAGAGAGAGAGAGAGAGAGAGAAAGAGAGAGAGAGAGAGAGAGAGATGTGTCAGAGACACATCAATTGGTTGCCTCCCGCTCGGGCCTGACTAGGGCCAGGGATTAAACCTGCAACTGAGGTATGTGCCCTTGACTGGGAATTGAAACTGAGGCCCTTCAGTCCATGGGCTGACGCTCTAACCACTGAACAACTGGCCAGGGCATTAAGCCTTATTATCTACTGTTATAAATCCAGAAACCAATGGGAAGCCATTGGAGGACTTTTAGCCTGAAGGGTTAAGATCAGATATATATTTTAAATCTATTACTTTGATTATTATAAGAAAGGATAGATTGGAAGGGCATATATTGGAGGCACAAAAGCAGTTGGAAGGTTACTATAATAATTTGGACCAGAAATGATATAAATGGAGGATAGTGATAGGATGAAAAAGAAGTTAAGAATCTGAAAAAAAGGTAGGAGGCAGATACTTTAAGACATGGAATCTAGCTGAGGGATGACCAAAGGGAAGTGGTTAAGGAAGACCTCAGTGACATCTATGCTTGGTGATACCATTTCCCAAGAAAGATTATAGGAGAAGTCATTCAATGAATATATTCTGCTTGCCTTTTTATTTTCTAGTAATTTGGGGGTTTTCTTTGTCATTTTTTCTTCCAAGTAGAAAATACATTGTTAGTCCTTGTGGCATTAATATTTTGTAGGTAAGAAGTAGTCCTGAAATACTGCCTTGTGGTGTGACTGATGAAATCGAAGTGGTGACTGCAGCTGTCAATGAAAAAGTTTGTCCTGAATTTAACAGTGACAGACTTTCAAAAGAGGTAAAAATAATTTTATATGTAAATGCTCTTATTGGTGGTTTCCTTTATGCTAAGGAAAGAGGAAAATGTGTTAAATGAACTTTATGCTACAGAAATATTTGTTATATTACCATCAGTTGATTTTTCAAAGCATGTTATTTTAAAATGTTACCTTTTAAAACTTTGATTCCTAAAATTTTTTTTCTTATTTAAAATTATTTTTAGGAAGACCCATTTACTGTAGAATCAAGTTCCCTGACAGATCCAGTTACAGATACAAACTTGGATTTTTTTCAGTCTGATCCTTTTGTTGGCAGTAAGTACTCCTATTTTTATATTATAGATTTACCAAAAAAAGGCTTTTAAATATATAAACTGTATAAGAATTAGGGCTTCAATTTTGATAGCCTACTTGTTATAAAAAAGTAGAGTGGAGAGTAAGGTTTTATATGCTCAGATTTTAGTATTTGTTATCTTTACGCAACTAAATCCTGGGACTAAGCCTTTAATTATGTTTTAGAAACTCCTGAATAAGAGTATATTTCTTCAGAATAGGGATCAAAAGGAGAGATGTGGAGCACTCTTAAGTCAATCAGCAGTTATTTACTAAAAGTGCCAATATCACGCTTTTAAAACAATGGAAGCTATAATAGTATCCTGATCCCTGCCCTTAAGGTTCCTATAGTCTTATTGAAGAAACATAAGTTTAATAAATTAAACTATCTGATGTCACTCTAAACTATGCTAAATACTACTTGTGTTAAAGCTCTTTTTGCATTTTATTTCTAAAATCACCTTGTGAAACTGATAGGTCAATTTATATCAGTTTTAAAGATGGCAGACTGATCTCATTACTGCCATGACTAAGCGTGACTGGTTTAGAGTCATGGCAGTAATGAGTCTAGTGGTGATAGTAATACTCATTTCATACTGTTGTGAAGAGTAGAGATTTTGTTAGTAAAATTCTTGCTGTCATGCCTGTCTTTTCTCATCCTTCTGTAACTTGTGATCAAGAGGTAAGTATAGTCTGTGATTCAAATTTGACTCTCTTAGGAGGTGTGTTGATGTTCTACCTTTACTCTTTATTATTTTAAATATTTCCTAAAGGTGGATGGCATTCATTGTTTTATTTTTATTTTTTATCTCATTGTTTTATTTACTTTGCAATGGGATTAATGAAACAAATATTGCTTTAAGAAACTGTGCTTTTGTTTTAAAGTTACCTTTAAGTAATGGTGCCACATAGTAAATATTATTTTGATTTCTGCTTATTTATTTTATCATAGGTGATCCTTTCAAGGATGATCCTTTCGGGAAAATTGGTCAGTATATTATAAATTTATGTTGTATTTAGGAATGAGAGATCCGAATGGGTAGTTATAGGAAATGGACTTACTTTTTATTTAGTTTTGAAACTTATCTAAGGTTTCACTTGATGTTGTGTGTTCCTTGCATTTTTAGAGTGAAAGTGGTAGATTCTTGTGAATTTACTTAACTGTTAGCTTTACTTTTTAAAAAATGACATTAGTGTTTATACTTTGATGCTTTTAGCAATATTTACACTGATTTCTCCTTATTAGTCAAGGATTAGGTAAATATAGTGAGTTACACTACAGGGCTTAGAACTTTCTTTTTACACTCTACTCCAATGAATGGAGGAAAAGGAAACATCTTTTGTTTTGTCTTGTTTTGTTTTGTGTTGTTTTGTTTTGTTTTGTTAATCCTCACCCGAGGATATTTTTCCTTTGATTTTTAGAGAGAGTGGAAGGGAGGGAGAGAGACAGAGAGAGAGAAAATCAATGTGAGAGAGAGACATCGATTGGTTACCTCCCACACACTCCCTGACTGGGGCCTGGGATAGAGCCTGCAACCAAGGTATGTGCCCTTGACGAGAATTGAACCCAGAACCCTTCAGTCCAAGGGCCAACGCTCCAACCACTGAGCAAACTGGCTAGGACAAAAAAGAAACATCTTAAAGATTTACTAAATGTCAGGCTTTTTAAGATATTCTTTTTTAAAGAAAATATATATTTTTATTGATTTCAGAAAGGAAGAGAGAGTGATAGAAATAGCCATGATGAGAGAGAATCATGGATCGGCTGTCTCCTTCACACCCCTTACTGGGGATCCAGCCCGCATCCCAGGCATGTGCCCTGACCAGGAATCAAACCTGGGACCCTTCAGTCCTCAGGCCGATGCTCTGTCCACTGAGCCAAACCAGCTAGGGCAAGATATTCTTTTTTTAAAAAGTATGTTTTTATTGATTTGAGGGAGAGAGGTAGGAAGAGGGAGAGAGAGATAGAAACATCGAGAAGAGAGAAACATTGATCTGCTGCCTTCTGCATGCCCCCTGCTGGGGATTGAGCCCACAGCCTGGGCATGTGCCCTGGCCAGAATTGAACCAGTGACCTATTGGTGCATGGGATGACACTCAACCAATTTAGCCACACCAGCCAGGCTTTAAGATATTCTTTTTCTGGGATTTTGCATTAGAATAAAGCCAATCATTTGTACCATTTAGTTTTCTTTGCGAACCTGTTCCAAATATTGGCTGTTACCCTTGAGCTAGAGAAAGAAAGACATTTAAAAGTTTTTGTTGTTGTTTTATTTTAGTTAATGATAGCATAAATTAAGGATCTTAAAATGGGATCCCTTGAAATTATATGCTAATTTTAAAAAATAATTTTATTATGTAAAAGACTCTTATCTTTTGCCCTGGCCGGGTGGTTCAGTTGGGTTCAAGCGTTGTCCCATACACCAAAAGGTTGCTGGTTCGATTCCCAGTCAGGACACATATCAAAGTTGTGTATTCAATCCCTGGTTGGGGTGTATATGGGAGGCAACTGATAATGTTTCTCTCTCACATCAATGTTATCTTCCTCTCTCTCTAAAATCAATAAACATATCCTCTGGTGAGGATTTTCTTTTTTTTAAGGACACTTATCTTTTATCAAAACCATTATGGAATTTCTAGTCCCCCCTCCTTCAATTAGGAGCACCCCCAATTAGAACTAACTTAGAGGTGTTATTAAAACCTACCATACAGGAAACATTTGTGTAGTAAGTGTTGGAATTATTGGTGTGCTTTGGGTGAATGGTGAAGAATGTTAGTTAAAGCTGTTTAACTAGATGGAACTGTCTATACCTTTTTTTAAAGATCAATAGTCATGATAGAAAGTACATAACTTAGATTCTGTAGGAGTTCAAAATGGGGATGGGGATGGGGATCGGAGGGAGGGGACATCTGTAATACTTTCAACAATAAAGATAAATTTTTTAAAAATAAAGTATTTTGATTGATAAAAAAATAACAAAATGTCTTTTTATTACTGCAAGTTGTCATGCCTTCAAGTGACAGGAAATTCAGTGTAATAGTTTTTTAGTCTCATAATAATGCTGCATTTTCTTAGATCCATTTGGAGGTGATCCTTTCAAAGGTTCAGATCCATTTGCCTCTGACTGTTTCTTCAAACAATCTTCTGCTGATCCCTTTGTCACTTCTAGTACTGACCCTTTCAGTGCAGCCAGCAATAGCAGTACTACATCGGTAAGTGGGAGGGTTAAAAACTGTTAAATGGGTAACAAGTGCTGTGAGTTTCTTGCAATATACAGGTGAAAGAATCCTGTTTTAGGTTACTTCTGATGGGCCATATAGGATTTTTAGTTTCATTCAGCCCATCTAGTTTTTGGTTCAGAGCTTGATCACCCACTGGAATTAACTAGAATAACTTATGTCATCCAAAAATCAAGTCTACCCTTCAAAGGACCAAATATTGTCCCATTGGGGATCTATATATATAAAAGCCTAAGCAACTGTTATGACAGAACCACCAGAATGACCGGTCGCTATGGCACCCACTGACAACCAGGGGGCAGACACTCAATGCGGGAACTGCCTCTAGCCCGCAGGCCCCGATCACCGATGGGGCCTGCTGGCCAACTTCCTGGTTCCTCCCCGCAGCCAGCAGGCCCTGATCGCCCAATCGGCTGGGATGGGGAACCGGGGGTGGGTGGCAGTGGACGCGGCACCTTTTCCAGGGGGGCCGAGGGCCAGCTCCCTCCTCGGGGCCAGTGGCCAACCTCCCGGGTCCCTACCCCTGGCCCACAGGCCCCGATCACCTGATTGGGATGGGGAACCGGGGGTGGGTGGTGGCAGACGTGGGCAGCAAGGGAAGGAGGAGGAGGGGAAGCAGGGAACCTGATTGGCCCTGATCGCCAGCCAGGCCTAGGGACCCCACCCGTGCACGAATTCCGTGCATTGGGCCTCTAGTATTAAAATAAATGTTTAGAAATCCATATACCAATATTAAAACACATTATGGACGGATCATGAGAATTCTCGTGTTTTTATATTACACGGTGTTTTACAAAATATATTTTAAAAAGATATTAGCTTCTAAGAACATGTAATAAATAACTTCAAAATGCAATGGGTATTTAATTTTAAAGTGTGCCTTTAACATTTATGTAAAATGTTTTTTGTACTCATTCATTAGAAACTTATCTGGCCACTGAGTAAAGCTAGCAATAAAACTACTGGTCTGCAATGTGTTAAGTAAAGGTTTTTAGAAATGTTTGATATGCATTATTGAAATAATGAAAATCAATTTAGAGGGAACAACATTAATGTTTTAGAAAAATAAAATAATTGTTATTTTATAGACACATCTGGAATGTTGTCTTACAAAGAAGTACAAATTCCCACTAAATGTCAGAGTCTTGAGAACATACATAGTACAACAATCACTATTTAATAACCACATACTATGATCAGATACTTCTGTGTGCTTTACATTCCTAATCTTCACATCAACCTTGCAAAGTAGGTGTTGATGTGTCTACTTTAAGAATAAGAACACTTGGACTCAGAATAATTAACTTAGCATAGCCAAGGTTATACAACTAAGTGGTTTATCATCTGGAGTCTTTAAAAACAAAATCTTTATATCATGGGTATTTAAACATATTTAAAATAAAGTAATATAATGAAATATTCTAACAAACTTTTATGTAGCTATGATGTAATTTCAATAATTATGAGTAATTTGGGAGTTGTAGAAAAAAATTATTTGGAGGCTTATTTTTGGGGGGCAGGATTTTCATGTTTATGAGTAAACCAGACCCAGAAAGGATCAGTTGAGTGACAGGCATTTGAAGCAAAAATTTTGTCTTTCATTACTCTTGGATTAAGAATACTTCTTTAAGCCCTAGCCAGTTTGGCTCAGTGGATAGAGCATCGACCTGGGGACCGAAAGGATACGTGCCTTGATTGCAGACTCCTCCCCAGCCCAGGCCCTGGTCAGGGTTCATGCAGGAAGCAACCAATTGCTGTGTTTCTCTCACATTGATATTTCTCTCTCTCTTTCCCTCTCTCTCCCACTCTCTCTAAAAAATCAATGAAAAAATATCCTCGGGTGAGGATTAAAAAAAGAAAAAAGAGAATACTTCCTAAGAAAAAACCTCTTAGACACAGACTACAGTATGGTAGTTAAAGATAATAGATTTTGATGTTCTTGAATTGCTTCCTTACTGTATTTGGTAAGGAACTATTTGGCCAACAACTGGTATTTTCCATTGATGTAAAACTGAGCAAATGCCTCCGTAACTGAATATTTGTGGTTTCCACAGGCTACTGGATACTGTGTTTTCCTATAACACATAGTTTGCAGTGTGGACCCACTTGCCAAATTCTTCTTAAATTGGCTGTAACCTGAATTCTTTCCCTCTCACCTTATTCTGCCCTCTCATTCTTCACTCGTATCATTTAAAGAGCAAAAAAGCCAAAGCAGCTTTTTCTAATTTAAAAATAAACAAATTTCTCCTGTTCCTCTATACTGGTGAAATATTTCTGCCATTTATTCTTACTTTTCCTCTTTTCTCCCCAGTTTTCTAAAGCAGCTTGCACTTCCTCTTAATAGATCTCCATTAAAAGCAAAACAAAACAAAAAACAAATTGATAATATAATAATAGCTGTTTATCTAATCTTTTCTATATGCCAGGCATGGTGCAAAGTTCTTTTCTTGTGTTACCTTATTTAATCTTCACAATAATCCTGTAAGGCTTATGTTATTATCCTCATGTTTAAGATAAAGTAAATGAGGCTTAGAGAGGTTAAGTGGTAATAAGTTAGTAAATGATAGGGCTGAATTCAAAACTTGATCAAAAATCTTAAGGTCTTTACCCCTATAGCCTACAATTGAACTTTATTTCTTCATAGCTCTTAAAACCCCTGATTTTGTGATCTTTTTTAAAAAACAAACAAACAAACAAAAACAGGCCTCTGATTATGCCTCCAGTCATGAATCTCTCCTCAAAAGTATTTTCTATTTCTTCAAGGCTGGTCTTTGTTCTCAAAGGGATATAATTTTAAAGACCAAACAAACCAAAATAAACAACTGCCATTTCCTGCTATCCTAGCTGGTGTTTGGTAGCACTGTGTAGGTGCTAAGTCATATTGTCAAAGTCAAGAGTGGATGGCTGATAAAGAAGAGAGGGAATTTCAGTAGTAAGTTAGGTTACCTTATTGGAGGATTTTGGAGCATTAATTTTATAAAATCATACCATCTGAATTTTAGTTATGAAAATTACCTTTTTGTACTAAATTGCCTAATTATCAAACTGAACATAACATAGTTATGACCACTTATTCCTTCATTAGAGGCCCAGTGCACGAAATTCTTCCACAGGTAGGGTCCCTAGGCCTGGCCTGGGATCAGGGACGATCAGCTGCTGGCTGGGGCCTTCCTTCATTCCGCGCCACCCCCTGGTGATCAGCACACATCATAGCAAGTGATCGAACTCCTGGTAGAACTCCCAAGGGGACACTTTGCATATTAGCCTTTTATTTTATATATATTAGAGGCCTGGTGCACGACATTCGTGCACTCGGAGGGCGAGGGTCCCTCAGCCCAGCCTGTGCCCTTTTGCAGTCCGGGTGTCCTCATGGGATGTCCACCTGATGGCTTAAGTGGGCAGTCAGACATCCTTAGTGCTGCCACGGAGGCGGGAGAGGATCCTGCCACCACTGCTGCACTCACCAACCATCAGCTTCGGGTTGAGCAGCGCCCCCCCATGGGAGTTCACTGACCACCAGGAGGCAGCTCCTGCATTGAGCGTCTGCTCCCTGGTGGTCAGTGTGCATCATAGCAACCAGTCGTTCTGCTGTTCAGTCGATTTGCATATTACCCTTCTATTATATAGGATAAATGGACTACGCGTCCATCTTGTTTCCCTTGTTAGCCTGTTGCCCTTTTAGGGTGATTGCACAGTGAATGGGAGCTCACTGACCACCAGGAGGTAGCTCCTGCATTGAGCGTCTGCTCCCTGGTGGTCAGTGTGCATCATAGCAACCAGTCGTTCTGCTGTTCAGTCGATTTGCATATTACCCTTCTATTATATAGGATAAATGGACTACGCGTCCATCTTGTTTCCCTTGTTAGCCTGTTGCCCTTTTAGGGTGATTGCACAGTGTTCGGTGAAGGAATAGAAATTAAACCTGACATGCATGTAGGCATGCTTTTTCCATTTCTCTCTGTAATGGTACACAAAACTAGCAAATTATTATTAAAAACCAGGCCTGTTTTTTTACCTCCCTCAAAGTCAAAAGAAGAGCAATAATAGTTGGTGATTTAAATTATCATGCCAGTGACTGTCTCACACCAATATTTTGATGATTATATTAGAAACCATGGAAATTTATTTCCTATACAGACCAGCTTAATTTTTTTCTTTGATTGCTATTCATTATTCAACAGATATAATCAGCATATAAACTAGTGTGCTAGTTTTATAAATAGTATCATTGGCATCAGTTAAAATAAGTACTGTCATTTTCAATTCCAAAACTTTATTAGTAGTAATTCTTTCTGCTAGTAGTTTTAATGGGTCCTCTTTTATAAACAGAATATAAGTCTCTTTTCAAATACACCTGTTTTACTTGGGAATTTGTAAATTAAGCTCTGCATTATCCTTTGACACTCAGAGTCAGAGTGGGAGATAAATATTGCAAAGCTCTTTTCATGCCCCTTTCACTGTCTGCCAAGGCTTTTGGATGGCCTCATACAAACACCCTGATGCCAGAAAGAAGTTCAGTTGTCTTCCTAAAGACACAATTTGTTTGACTATGATTAAAAACTAAAGTAAAGTGGGAAGACAACTGGCTTCTGGTAAAGTCCTCACTCGTAGCTACTCACCCTTGCTACTTGGTACAGAGTTTTACATGGCATATTTAAAAGTGGCAGGATCTTTTTAGCAGAAACACCCCCCCCCCCCCCCCCCCCTCCCTCCCTTCCTTCCCTCTCCCTAATACACAAGTGCATGTTTTCTTTGAGGGGAAGAATGCTAAACTATTTTAAGATAACAAATAGAAAATGGAAATCTAGCATTTTCTATATTAAATACTAGGATATTTAAGAGAATAGTATGCATCCTAAATGCAGTATGTCATCCTGGAATAAGAAAAGGACATTAATGGAAAAACTGGTAAAATCCAAATAAAAATCTATAGTTTATAGTTTTGTACCAGTATTAATTCTTCAGTTTTAATAGCTATACCATGATTATATGAGATATTAACATTAGAAGAAGCTGGGTGAAGGGAATATGGGAGCTATGTATTATCCTTACAGCTGTTCTAGAAATCTAAAATTACTTCAAAATAAAAAGTTAAAATAGTGTGCATCTATACAAGTATCAAAGTTATGAAGAAAAAAGAAATGGATACTACCAAAGTCAAGATAATAATTACCTCTACAGAGGAGGGATGGGATGGTGATTGGAGAAGAACACATGACTTCTGAGGTGTTGGCAGTTTCTTGGAAGATGATTACATATGTGTTCACTTGATACTTATTTGTTAAACTGTACATATGATTAATACAGTTTTATGAGTGGATATTGTATTTCATAATAAAAGGAAATTAGAAAATGATATGTATCATTTTGATTTAATAAGATTGCAAATTAGTAGGGGGAAACATTTGTTCCTAATGCCCGTATTCCTTAGTGAATTTAGAGTTTGTAAAGAATATTTTCTTTGGTGTAGCAATGAGGTTTCAGCTATGAAATGTTGCCTCTCTCATGGTTTTGTATAATTTGTTTAGGTAGAAACATTGAAACACAATGATCCTTTTGCTCCTGGTGGAACAGTTGTTGTTGCAGCTAGTGATTCAGGTAAGAAAACATCAATTTATTTGAATAGTAAGCATTACCCTTTTCTTTAAGCTTCTTTTCTTTGGTCTCCAAATGTATTTGTCCTATTTCCTTATGTATGGCTTTAAAATTATTGTATAGTTATATCCAATTGTAATCTACCAATAATAATAATGATGGCAAGTGTTTATGTATCACTTTCTACTTTCCTTATGATTCATTATCCCATTTATTGTTCATGTTGAAGATCTTTACTACAATACAAATTCTCGCCAATGTCAGTAAAACCAATAACATTTTTTTTTTCCATTATAAAAGCAGTGTTGTTTGGCAGTTTCAAAGTCAGCATTGACTCTTAGGGATCTTGGCCTAGATTTAAAAATTTGTGGCTTCCAATAGGTAATTATAATAACTTTCCAAATAGTGGATAAGTCCTGTAATAAGACATGCTTTGTTTATGGTACCTAATTTTTCATTTGTCCTTTTAATAACCTTTAAGTAATATTCTCATTTTAATGATCAAGAAATTGAGGACCCAGAATATTGAGTAATTTAGGATGATACTGCTTATTAGATTTGAGCTAGGTGAAGCCAAGATTCAAAGCTAAGTCTGACATCCCTACCTGGTTTGGCTCAGTGGATGGAATGTCGGCCTGCGGACTGAAGGGTCTCGGGTTCAATTCCTGTCAAGGGCACATGTCCAGGTTGCAGGCTCAATCCCCAGTAGGGGGCATGCAGGAGGCAGCCCATTAATGATTCTCTCTCATCATTGATGTTTCTTTCTCTCTCTCCTTCTCCCTTCCTCTCTGAAATTAATAAAAAATATATTAAAAAGAAAAGCACCCTAGCCGGTTTTGCTCAGTGGATAGAGCATCAGCCTGCGGACTGAAGGGTCCCAGGTTCGATTCCGGTCAAGGGCATGTACCTTGGTTGCGGGCACATCCCCAGTAGGGGGTGTGCAGGAGGCAGCTGATCGATGTTTCTAACTCTCTATCCCTCTCCTTTCCTCTCTGTAAAAAATCAAAATATATTTTAAAAAAAGAAAAAGAAAAAGAAAAGCTAAGTGTGACAGATTCTAAAAGCTTTCTTAACTAAGTAACTCTGCTTCTTTCTCACAGTTCATTTACAAATAAACAGACCAGCTATTGTGTAGGAGAGCAGGAAATTAGAGGGAGTGAACTGAAACAAGTCAATACTTCAATATCATGCTGAAAATAGACTGCCTTATTTTTCAGATGGAAATAGGGTGAGCTATTCAGTACACAAAATTTGTTGATTGTGACAAATTAAGGATTATGGGCATAGAGAAAGATAATAGAAAGGCCTTCACAATTTGAATTTCTTGTATTGTACAAATTGTAACAAGATAGGATTTAACACTGTGTATCATTTATTTTCAGGTTGAAATTTAGCTTCCAACATGAGTAGCAAGAAAGAGGAATGTAGAAAACAAGATTTAATGTTGTATGGGGTATTGATTTAAACCAAAAATTTAAATGACAGCAAATATGATTTTTAAAGGGCTTATTCTAGTAACAGTGGTTAAATTATATCTTTTTAAAATACATATGCTTTTTTAGACTTCCCTTATTAAACTGATGAATTTATATATTGCTAGGGATATTATATAATTAGAAAGGATACCCCAAGAAAATAAAATGAAAGGTTAATACATTTATAATTAACTGTCAGTTGCCCACACTAAAGAATAGTGAGTGCCATGAGAGTTCATTAGAACTGTAAAAATTTAAAAGAAAGGGAGACCACATCCATTTAGGGTAAATCATGAATGACTTAAAAGCAAAAGATGGCTTTTGCGGTATGCCTTGAAAGAATGGACTGGGGTTTTTAATAAGCAGTTATGGAAAGAGACTATATCAAGCAAAGAGAATAACACGAACAAGGAATGGAGGTTGGACATACAGGGAAAAACAGACCTTTTGATAAAGCATATTTATAGAGGAACAAGAGGCCTAGTGCATGGATTTGTGCACCAGTGGGGTCCCTCAGCCTGGCCTGCGGGGATTGGGCCAAAATTGGCTCTCCAACATCCCCTGAGGGGTCCCGGATTGCAAGAGGGCAGTTCTCGGCACCCTGGAATCGGGTTCCCTCCTCTCTGGTTCCGGGTGCATCACCCGAGAACCGCAGCTGCCAAGTCACCACAACTCAGCAGCTCCTGCATTGAGCGTCTGCCCCCTGGTGTTCAGTGCATGTCATAGCTACTAGCCGGTGGGCCTGTGGCTTAGGCTTTTATATATACAGACTAGTGACCCGGTGCACGAAATCACACAGTCCGGCCCACTCGCCCGCTGTCCCGTCTTGACACCCTAACCCAGTGGTCAGCAAACTAGGGATCGCGAGCCACATGCGGCTCTTTGGCCCCTTGAGAGTGGCCACGAAGTTTCAATCGCACTGTACGTGCGTGTCTGCATGTGGTATTTTGTGGAAGAGCCACACTCAAGGGGCCGCAGTTTGCCGACCACTGCCCTAACCTCTCCACCCAGAGCTTGAGTGCGCAAGGCCTCGCCCCCGACCCCTCCGGCCTTCTCTGGCTGCTTCAGGCCCTGCCCTCAGTCCCGCGAGTCACCTCGGGGTTGATCCCACCTCCTCTGGGTGCCTCCCTGCTTCCGCCCCATCTCCAGAGCAACACGGCGGCTCTGCCCCACCACACACGCAGCCTCCTGCTGAATGGTGTTTATGGCATGAGGGCATCACGAACATTAGCATATTAGCTCTTTATTATATAGGACTAGAGGCCTGGTGCACAAAAATTTGTGCACTCAGGGGGCGGGGAGGGGGGTCCCCCAGCCCGGCCTGTGCCCTCTCGCAGTCTGGGACCCCTCGGGAGATAACGACCTGCTGGCTTAGGCCTGCTCCCGGGTGGCAGAGGGCACGCCCAATCCCTAAGTGCAGCCCCTGGTCAGGCTCAGAGCAGGGCCGATTGGGGAGTTGGGGCGCCGCCCCGTCATGCACAGAGCAGGGCGGATCGGGAGGTTGCAATGCCACCCTCAGTCACGCTCAGGGTAGGGCCGATTGGGGGGTTGGGGCACCGCCCCCTGTCACACTCAAGGCAGGGTCGATGGGGAGGTTGCGGCGCCAACCCCTGTCACGCACAGAGCAGGGCCAATCAGGGGGTTGGGCGCTGCCCCCTGTCA